TCCGAGCAAAAGATCTGGAAGACAGAAGAGTTTTAACTGGCTCGTCGCAATCCAATGATTGCACCGAGAAATCCATTTCAACAACCCACGTCCGTGCTGCCCTCGAGTCTCGTCCCGAGTCGCTCGTGTTCAACCAACCTAGCAGGCGGTGTGGTGAAATTGCAGTCAAAGTCGGCCGCCGGGCTCATCTGATCTATTTCATCCCGCATCATATTTATTCCCCGGGGCGTTTAACATGGATAGATACTCGCTGTGTAGGCTCGAAGATGTTCAATATCCCCTGCCAGGTGGGCGAGATTCATCATCCCACCCAGATGGTATCCTGAGAGAATAACAACAATACAAGAGAACTAAATAGAATATCTGGACAGTCATACTACATCATCTTCTAGGTTCTTTATCCTCGGAGACAGAGCTCTCAGCTGACGAACCGGAGTTCATAATTCACATTTCAGGGGCTAAAGGCACGGTGTTGTATGCCATGCTTATTTCACTACATAATTTACCTGCACATCGATCCCAATATTTTCATCATTTTTCTCAAGATTCGTCCGAATTCTCCCATATTGCTTCTTCTGCCTTGTTACCCACTGCGGGATTTGTCTCTTGGTTCCCTCGCGCTCAGACTGCTTCCACCTCGAACAGACCCAACCACTCAAGCAGAACACAATCACCACAGCATGCCAGTCTCCCCCAATTGAGATAAACTATTACACGATTCCCTGTTTTCCTCCCGAAGCCGCACCTTCACATCCCTGTTCCACGCCGGATACATATTGGACACCATGTGCTCAGCTCCGAACTGACCCTCCATCCCACGGGCTGATCATGGCGCTCCGTCACTCCACCCACGAATGCGCTCATGTCGCACACACTCCGCCAGATATGCACGGATTTACAAAAAGATACTGGCTGAAAGCACATCCTCATTCTCGGAAACCTGTCCCACCCTTCCCCTTTCCTCGCTCACAGTCCCAGCCAGACCTCGTGACTCTGGCATAAACAGATCACCGTTCCAGCCGCGTACCGGAACACGAAGCAGTACGTTGCTTACCAATAGGTATTTTCTTGTTCCCACTTGATATTATCACCGACTCCTGCTGTGCCGAGAAGCATGATACTTTCATGGCTATGATCTGTCATGATTCGAATTACACCCTTTGGTAACACTGGCCCGTTTGAATCCTTCTCTTCGGGCTCCGTTCTATATTGCATTTTATGGTCGTGGAAGATTAGGTAGCTTACAAGGATATCTCTCAATCGAAGGTACTGTCCATAATTAGCTGGGAATAGCAACAATTCTCATCCTCAAGATAGAGTCGGCCATGTTGTCCTAGTACTGTACAGTTCAAGAGTGTCTCTAAAATCCTTCTCTTGTTCCCTTTGTTTACCATATAATACCGAATTTCTCCGATAAATCGAGGGGTTATGTACTAATTGTTGCCTCTAACAAGACACTTATTTAACTTTACATACTCTCCTGTAAAGCTGCGCCATCTTACTGTAGAACTAGGCCAGACCCAGCTCCTTGTAGAATGCCTCAGTGCTGGGCGCCCTGCCAAGGAACTCGGTGAGGAAGCCCATCTCATCCTCCCTGCCGCCCTTCTCCAACACGATTTTCCGGTATCGGCGACCCTGGGCTGGGTCCATCGGGTTCTTCTCGAAAAAGGTGGCGAACATGTCCGTCGAGAAAACCTCGGACCAGAGATATCCATAGTAGCCAGCATCATATCCACCAACAAAGTGGCCGATATGGGCATATCGGCTGCCCCATTTACTACATAGTGTTAGCAAAATCACAAGGTGCCAGATGGTCCGGTGTTGGTAATTGGCTTACATTCCCTCGCCCACATCCTCAGGGCCCTTGATGCCAGAGATTTCACCGCGGAGAGTGTTCCAGAGCTTTCCGGCATCCAGATCCTTGGCCGCCTGATGTGATTCTGGCGAATGGACAGTCATATCGAAAAGACCGATCAACAGCTGCGCGAGGTTGAAAATGGCGGAGTTGAGGTTCTTGCTAGCAATTAGCTTATCAACCAGCTCGTCCGAGATCTGTTCGTTCGTCTGCCAGTGACGGGACAGCGACTTGAGGACACTTGGTGTCCAGCACCAGTTCTCAAGCATCTGAGAAGGCGCCTCGACAAAGTCATCCACAACCGATGTTCCGTGGAAGTAACTGTATCGTGTACGAGCAACCAAGTCGTGGATACCATGGCCAAGCTCATGGAAGAGTGTAACAACCTCATTGTGCTTCAGCAATGATGGCTTAGTAGGTGTGGGCTTGCTGAAGTTGCAAACCAAAGCGGTGGAGGGGTAGCTTCGGGTTCCATCTTTCTTGGTATAGCCCGGTTCGATGCCAAAGTTGGCGTTGTGGCCGTACTTGTTGTCACGAGGGTGAAGGTCGATGTAGAGGTAACCCACAAACTCACCACCGCTTGCTTCATCGTTCCAGACTGCATACAGCTTTACATCTTCATGCCAGATGATATCCTCAGCCTTGCCAGTCTTGCTAAGGCGTGCCGAATCCTCCTTAGTAATCTCAACGAAGAAGAGACCGAGAATTTCTTCGAAGATCTTCAGCATCCCCTTAAAGGTCGAGTCAACCGGGAAAAACTGGGAAATCTTGACCTCGTCGACGCTGTACTCCTGTTCCTTTTGGAGACGAGAGTAGTAGGAGGTGTCCCACATGTAAAAGTTACCATCAAAATCTAGACCCCGCGCTTCATAGTCCTTCTTCTTGTATTCCAGAAGCTTAGCGACCTCCTTCTTGCCACCTGGGGCCAGGCGGACGCGGAGATCGTTCAAGAATTCCTTGACCTTGGTCGGGGTCTTGGCCATCTTTTCCCCAATCACAACGCTTGCGTGGTCGGGATATCCCAGGAGCCGGGCGGCTTCGTCACGAAGCTCGAAAATCTCCTGGAAAATCGGTACGTTCTGGCTGACCTTTTGGGGCAATTAGATTCCAAAAACGTCATTGGAAGGCTTTCGATTTCAGCTCAAAGGAAACTTACCTTGTTGGCGTCGGCGATGGTATATCTGTGTCTTGCTTCGCCGTCTTGGGCATACTTCATGAAGGGGAAGAAGTGAGTATACTTGAAAGTCAACTTGACTTTTCCCTCATTCTCGCCAGTGCCCTTCTCGAGGTCAGCAATGTTGATATCGTCCTCGGGTACACCCTTGAGCTCTTCCGGGGTGAACCAAATGGCAGCCTTCTCCTCGTTCAGGTTCTTCTGGGCCTGAATGCACAACAATCCCAGGCGCTTCTTGATTTCCTTGAAGCGGTCCCGCTGCGGTCCGGCAGGGAGGAGCAGACCATTGCGGATATACTTCTTGCGCTCCTTCTCCAGGATGCGCAGAGCCTCCGTCTCGAGCTTTTCGGTCTCTCTCTTCTCAAAGGCACCATTCACCACATTGAAGACATCCTCTCGCATGCGACATTCAACATCAAACTGGGTCGTAATCTCATCGGCTTTGGTGGAGGCCGCCCGAAGGTCCTGGTTTGTCGACACGTGCTGGTAGAAGCTCAGAATCCTTCGGGAGACAGCGGTCTCATTGTCCTCAAAGAGGACGGGCTCCAGAGCCTTGGCAAATGTGGAATTCTCTGGCTTCGTGCCGGCCACAATGTCATCAAGGATCTTCTTGTAGTTGGCGTTCAGGCGCTCCGTCTCACTGACGATGGCTTCGGCAGTGTGAGTAAAGAGAGGGGGTGCCTGAGGAGGCGTGTGAAACTGGGGAGCGACCATGGCGCTCGTAGTCACAGTACGGAAAGGGACCACCTGGGTTCTTAGATGGTGGACGAGCGAGTTGAGGCGAGGGAATGCTCGTTGGGAAGCCAGGGTGGCGGCTAGAAGGAGGACGAGGAGGGGAAGGAGGAAGTAGAGGGAAGTGGGCCTCGCGCGTCGATCCAGCTTATGTACTGGGCAGGCGAGATGCACCTGGGGATCAATGGCAAGAGGCAAGGCCAGGAGCAGACAATTGGGCTCTGGGGTTATTTGAACGGGGCGAAAATGCTGTTCTGTCTCTTACACTAGGTGAAGGTGGGGGAAGGACCGGAAGGAACTAACCTTGGATGCGACAGTAGGCGGCAGGAGCGGTGGGCCGAGATGCTTCCTCAGGCGCCTATCGACCTATCACTACGTTGCCCCGCCATCTCGAGTCACTGCATGTCCGATGGTGTCACATCTCAAGTCCCTCATGCCCCTTGCGGCACAGGTACTTACGGGCTACGCGCGGGAGCAGAGTCAGGCTAGGGATGCTGTATTACCTCATGTCGCACCTTTTTCGACCCGAGTGTGTCGATGCTGGAAGGCGGTAGAACAAGCGGTGTGCGCATTTAGGCAGAGGCGGCGCAGCCTCAGTATCGAAATGCATAATGCCAAAACCATCCAATATTATTATGCACGATTCGGTCCAGATACTCGCCTTCAAAGTGCCCCTCCATTACCTGCCTCGGAGCACCTGATGCGCTGTCGTCAGAAGCGGGGTGAGTGTGACGGGAAGAATCTGCTAGCTGCTCCTTATTATAGGAAATAGGTTAGGGGAGGTAACTTTAGTACCAGACTTAGGTATTCTAACAAACCTTCCTTAACAATCTGGATAGACGACGTGCTAGTAGCCTCATTTATTGACTTGGTTTCATGATTTATTTCTCTATAAATAAGAAAAACCCATACTGACCCTTGATCTCTCAAATCCTCTGAGGACCGTCAATATCTTGTTACTACAGCCTACAACATCTTATCATAGGTACTTCCAAGTTCTATGTCTCCTCCCACTCCTCACAATCTTGGATGTCTTTCCGTTCTTCCTCTAAAATCGTGCTATTCCATTTCCAATTAATAATACCCATAATATCAAAATCAGGATTTACCAAGATGTGATCTCCCTTGTCATCGGGATGCTTAAGATAGAACTTCTTATCTCTCGCCATGCTTGGCTTCCAGACTTAATCTAGGGTATCGAGCTAAAACTGGTGCGCCAAAACCATGTCCGCCACGTTCTCAGCTGTCCCAATTTTGCCCTCGGCGATCATTCGAAGGCTTGCTTCTACGAGCGTGCGAGAGGCTTCCCTGGATGGACTGAATGGCCGTAGTAGCCTAGCATCATTACCCGACCGGACAGTAGAATATTTGGCCACCCCTTCCAGTTCTGGCTGCGACTCAAGAGCAGAAGTCCGGGGTGTTGCCTCGTTTCCAAATGATTCTCTTGTCGCCACAAGCGATTCCAGCCCATCAAAAGGGTGTGCTTCAATCTCAAGCATGATCTCGGCAAGCTGTCGCACCACCTTTTCCTTCTGTGTAATGGCTGCGCCTTGCCAGTCCAGGGGCTTACCATCCAACTTCTATAACCAACGCCGACGGTGTATGTCGGATCGGACTCACACGCCCAATCAAACACCCGTGGCGAGGGGACATTTGCATGAGGGCTCAGGAACTCCATGGTCGCGGCCTCGCTCCGTAGCACATAGTTAGCCACCCACGTCCGTCGGCGGTGATATTGCTGGACAAGCGGAACCGCGCGAGCCAAACCTCGCCGTCGGCGAGATAAATTTCGGCATGGTAGTTCTGACCACCCATCGTAGTTGAGAAGGTCTTCGGCGAGAGGTCAATCGTGCATGTGCCACTGCGCACCTGTGACGCACGTTCACACAGCCTCCCACTGTCGATTCGTCGGCATAGTCTACCTGGTCGCCGGGATTCTTCTGTTGCGTAGTGCGCACTAAAGGTGCTCCAATCCAGCTGATGATGCAATCACAAAGCCACAGAGAATGCATATCTATGGGTTGGAAGAAGTAGGAAAAGACCTGTTAGACGCATATTAGACGATCAGTGTCGGTCCGTGGGTCTCCGTTTTGATATGTTGGTGAGATGGCAGATCCAATGACTACCCTAAATGAGCCCTGCTTCTACGGATGGATATGAGCAGTCAAAGAAACATGCTTGTTGGAGAGTATTATATATCAGAATAATTGGGCATTGGGGGCGGATCAATGCGATGTGTTGGGGCGCAACTTAAGATTAGCGATACAGGATCTTATATTCTTAATTTATCAAGAGCAACATCGCAGTCCCGTGAAGCACATTTTAGAGCGGCGCCTCGAGACTCGAGAAGCTATCTACCGTAATAGCCATATGCGACATCTCATCTTACAGTCGCAGTACCTCATCGCCATCCATTCCAATTCCCATGTAGTCAATCCCAGGCCAAATCACATGTAAATAGAGCAACGCCGCCGTTCCTAAACGCAGATGCAACATAAAAGCAGGCTTGTTTTGCGTCGTGATCGCCTAGTTGGCGAGGATGGTTCGCACAAGATCTAGAAAAACAAAAGACCAGTTAGCAAGGGCACAGTTGTTGGCGGGTTATCGGGGGGGAAGAGTCCGTACCGGTGTAGTTGACCTGGCCAGAGCTGGTGTCCACGGCCTTGAGGAGCTCGTCGACCTCCTCGTCGGTCATCTTCTCGCCAAGGTTGGTCAGGATATACTTGAGCTGGCCGACGCCAATAAAGCCCGTCATGTCCTTGTCGAAAACCTGGAAACCGCGGCAGTATTCGTCAGGCTCGCCGGGGTCACGGAAGCCACCAGGGCGGTTCAGGACACGCTGGAAGGTCTCGAAGTCGACTGGGAACGGTCAGCATCGGAATCGCATCGGGACCGTCGTCGGTCGCATGCAGATGGATGAAATAAAGCACTCACACTCGCCGCCAACATTCTTCTCGAGGTCCTGGATCTCGCTGAGGGTAGGGTTCTGGCCGCAGGCGCGGAGCAGATCGCCAAGGCTCTCGAGAGTGACTCGGCCGTTTCCGCGCTTGTCGAACAGGGCAAAAGCCTCCTTGTAGTTGGTCGAGGCCTGGGCATCAATGTGGTTAGAAGACATGGTGGGCAAAGTAATGCTTGGTGGTTCTAGCGATGCGCAGAGATCGGAGCTGATGGAAAGGAGAAGGACTGGGCAGGTATGCGACTGTTCGGCGGTCTTCTATTTTTTTGCGCTTGGAACAGTGCATTTACCAGCGAATCACGAGCGCTGGCGGGGTGGTGTGCTGCTGGCTGTGTTTACGCCTTCGGGTGCCGGGGCAACTCACCATTGTGTTTATTGCGTCGGTGGTACTGGTACTTAGGGGGGGCCTAAACAAATACGCCAGCGGCTGCGAGATTCTGTGTCTTGTGTCTTGCCCGGGCTGCAGGAGGGGTTGTCACACAAAAAAGCGACGGAATGAGCGGTTGTAGGATCGTGCAAAACTGGTGATGGTGATGATGAAAGGACGAGAAATCGATTTTGGCGGTGCCCAGGGCCTTTTCTGTTGTCTGGTCTGGTCTTTTCATAACTCGGTACACTCTGTCACCCGATTATGCGCACCGTGGATAAAAGGCCCCTTTTTTCCTGCCTGTCCATGCTGCGACTGACGGGGCAACGAGTCAACGACAGGCTGCCAAGCTGACAGTGCCCCAGTCCCTGCGACCAAGCCGGCCGGGCTATTGAAGCCATGGCTCTTTTTGAGACAGCTGTTTTGGGTCCCGGACCTCGATAGCGTGGCCGGCAATGCTTAAGCCACGGCCTAGCAGTAATTGCAATCGGCTATGCTATCAACGGCGGTGTGCTAAGCTTTCATAAAAAATCAGACAGAGGCACGAGGACTCCGAATAAAACAACCAGATGTTGATCATCTGCTATGTAAACTACAGCTAATAATCATACATCTACCAACAAGTATGGCCTTTGACAGCGGAAAGATGACACTTAGGATCCTCCTTACTCGTAAAAGCCATGACGATCAACAAATCCCACTCTCCCACAAGCTAAGCAGCTCCAAATTACCCTAGGGAGGTGCTCATTTAATCAACAATGCTACTTACTATGTGGCAGGATGCTGTCTAGTTATAAAACATGATACAGTAGCAGTAGAAAAAGCAAACCCCTCAATCTTTATTTAGCCAAGCGACCGAGATAAAACATAGCACACAAAAGCTCTTGTTTTGCAAGCTAGAGACTCCGTTATCTTATAAATAATACTAAACACATTAATAGTAAAACAATAAATTACTCTATAATATTTTGCTTGATATTATGTTTATGATTAGGTTAATTGTTCTGATATTGTGTCGAAATTCAAAGCTGGATGGGAGGCTTTGGTGTGCCATGATTTATTTCAGGCACTTGTTGGCCTAACCAGGTCTATGTTCAGTTCACACACCAGTTTATCTGAACTGAGGCAAATGAATCGAATTCAAGATGTCGTTACATTTTGTACTTTTGTTGACGCCGAAAAGCGTAGGTATTGACGGCAGACTTTCCGTTCTAGATGGCGTAAACTCCGAGCCTGCTGACAGCGTCGTAGCATTAAGCAGAAGAGGAACATGTGAAGGCCGGAATCAAGTCCTAATTTGATATTTTTCTCTAGATGCCTTGGCTACCAGCGAGACATTTTGGACACATTGCTACATGGCTATCATCCAGTTGCCCGTTGCAGTAATGAAGAACAAACGGCCGCGCTCGCCATTCGCGGAACCCCGCAGTCGTCATTTCTCAGCCAGTCGGCATCATTAGCAACGAGCTCAATTATATAGTCCTCTCGCCGTCCTTCACTCCGATACATATCCATCATCTTGGTGAAGCAGTAATCAAAAACCCCCAATCCCATCCACAACTCCCCCTACATCTCACACAATGTCCACCGAAGCAGCCGCACGCCGATTCTTCTCCGCGGCCCGATTCGCCGTTGTCGGCGCCAGCTCAAACCCAGCCAAGTTTGGCCACAAGGGTTGATTGATCCCCCCCCTGCTATCTCTTCTTTGCTCTGCATCGCTGATCATTATTCTTTATCAAGTGCACGCATGGTATCTGGCCCATACGCTTCCTGTCACGCCCGTCAACCCGGGTTCCGGGGTTGTTACTGTCGGCGGCCAGGATTACCCAACAGTCAAGAACGTCCAGGAGCTGGCGGACCCTAAGAACACTGGTGTCTCTATCATTACACCTCCGCCTGTTACCCTTGATGTGCTCAAGGCAGCCAAGACTGCTGGCATTCCCTCTGTGTGGCTGCAGCCGGGTACGTTTGACAAGGAGGTACTCGAGTTTGCCCTGGCAGATGGAGCTTTTGAAGCCGTTGTATACGGATACGGGGATGGAACTAGGGGAAGTGAAGGCTGGTGTGTTCTAGTTGATGGAGAGAAGGCGCTGAAGGAGGTTGGCAAGCTATGAGTCGGGGGCCAGTGTCTATAGCCGAGCTTGTCACGATGTTTAGACCTTCACTGGCGACATAACGATTGTCTTTCTCAATGCTTCAATCCCCTATATTACCTCTGTCGAGCTACATCATGTGGGAGCTACGTGTCGAGCAACTAATGGTAGCAGCACTGACTCTCATGGTGCTTGGAGACGGGAGGCTTCCCGAGGTATAGGTTAAGTCGATATAATTTAGAGGGTTGTGGACCTGCAGCCAAACGGGAATGAAAACGCCAGCAACTGCCCCACTAAACTCCCACCAACTCTTGCAAAGTAAACAAACGCGTTTGATCCGCGCCCACTTCACTCGTCGTCATTCGCTTCAGCCCCCAGTCATTGGCTTGCAAGGACCTGCTGGAACTCCAAGCATCCGACCCTCGAGCTTGTTTGGCTCTCGCGTCCTTCTTCGTGTCTATCCATAATTGCTATTTCATTTGACAGTTCACTTCACCTACTTTTACACTTCCACTTCTATCTTCTAATGATCAGGTAATGCTCCAACGATTAGACATGACACGAATCTCACGCTCGACCTGAACCCCGGAACGAGACCCCATATCTGCGCCAATCGCATACCTGCCCCTGCAACCTATTTGTTTTGACGCGGATATTTTGCTGAACGATCACGACGTGCAATTCACGATAGCACCACCAGTTTGCCCAGAATGGCGGACATCACAGTAGACGGCCAGTATCTGACCTTCGACGGCCGTCTCGCTTCGTTTCAGAAGACCAAGAAGCGAGGTTCAACAGCGGGCGGCCGAGGCGCGAAGGCTCAGAATTGGCCACATAAGACCATCTCCCCAGAGAGCGTGAGCACTCCCATCTTTCCTTGAGCTTCGATTGTGCCAGCAGGCTGCTAATACGCGCGCCAAACTAGCTTGCACGAGCCGGTTTCTTCTTCTTGCCGTTCTCTGATAATCCCGACAATGTTGTTTGTTTCCTCTGCGAGAAGAGCATGGATGGTTGGGAAGGGGGCGATGATCCTTTGCGCGAGCACCTGAAACACTCACCCGGTTGCGGATGGGCAATTGTCGCGGCCATCGAGGCTGAGATGGAAGGATACTGGCGAGAGGATCCCAACCATCCTGACATGGTAATGGCGCGAAAGGCAACATTTGCAGGCAGATGGCCTCACGAGAACAAGAGAGGGTGGAAATGCAAAACAAAGCAGGTGAGATCAGGACGCATCCAATCCTATTGGTAAACGGGCAGGAACGACGAATTGACCTTTTCTTAGCTCGTTGAATCGGGATGGAAGTACACACCCACACCAGATTCGGACGATATGACAACCTGCACATACTGTCAGTTGGCCATGGATGGTTGGGAAGCAGATGACAAACCAAAGTGAGTACCGAAATCGTGCTTTCGTCCTTCTTTATGAGGGCTTGTCGTTCCTCTCCCCTCCTCGGCCCCGTATACTAACAATCGGAAAGAGACGAACATTACAAACGATCACCGAATTGCGCCTTCTTCGCACTCGTTGAAGAGCACAAACAAACCAAGAAGACAACCCGCACAAAGGCCGGACGAGGTTCTAAGGCTTCACGTCTGTCTACACAATCGGCTGTCTCCATCGCCTCCGAATCAGCATCAGTAGCGGAAACAATCGCAGCACCTGACGACAGCGTCGTCACAACCACATCCGTAATGACGCAAGGTGGCACCAAGAAAAGCCGCGCAAAGAAGGCACCCGCAGCTAAGGGCAAGAAGGCTAAGAGCAAAAAGGAAGAGCTTGTCGTGCAAGAACCTGTCGTGCAAGACGAACTTGAAGACGAACAACCACCCATCGAGGAATCCCCTGTTGCTCAGCCGAGCAAGGCCAAGCGTGGAAAGAAGCGGCCCAGTGCCGCAATAGAGGAGCCGTCAGTTGTTGAGTCCGAAGCCCCAGCTGCGAAGAAGCGAGCCACTCGAAAGCGTGGCAATACCGTGGTCGAAAGTTCTGCAATTGAATTTTCAGACGATGAGCGCCCTGCTGATGTGCCCGTTGAGATCAAGGCCGCAGCAGGGCGTAAGAAGGGCCGGGCTGTGAGCGCACAGAAATCCCAAAAGGCCCCGGCAGTGGTACCTGTGTCTTCCCCGGAAAACTTTAGGGCACCACCTGGAGGCTTCCCAGATGATGACGAGATTGAGCGCCAATTGGAAGCTGAACTTGAAGCCCCCCTTACGGAGGATGAGGAGATCGCAGCAGATTCTGATTCTGAACGTTCCAGGTCAAGAGCCAAGACATCCGTTGAGGAGCAGCAGAGAAGTTTTCATAAAATAGTCGAAGCGCGAAAATCAGAGTCATTTGCGATGCTGGATCCCCATCCCGCCGAACCAGATGAGGATGAAATCGAGGACGAACTGGAGGCTCTACGTGCAGAGATGGAGGTTGCCCGATCAGAGGAAACACCACAGCCCGAGGCGGAACCAGAGCCTCTACTGGACTCGGAGCCAGAAGCAGAGCCAGAGCTACCTCAACTACAGGTCCCTAAGAAGGGACGAAAGGCAGGCACACGTAAGGCGTCAAAACAGGCCAAGCCCAAGAAAGCTCAGCCTGCCCCTGAACCTGAGCCTGAGCCTGAGCCAGAATTCGAACCACAGAACGAGCCTGAACCCGAGCCGGCAGCTCCTGATGTTTCAGACCCTGTTGTGGATGAGCCGGAGATTAGTGTTGGTAGCACCGGCACTGTCATCCAGAAGTCGGAGCCACAAAGAACCAGTCTAGGAAAGAGGGGACGTGGACGCCCATCAAAGCATTCGCTGGCCTCCCAAGCCTCAGTTGATGTAGATGAGCTGGCCGTGGAGGAAGTTGAGCCACCAAAGAAAAGGTCTCGCGGGCGACCTTCCAAGACACCCACGCAAGACCTGGCCCCCGCTCAGAACCTTTCAAGGGAGAACCTAGAGGCAGAGTTAGAGCCAAAGGTGGAAGTTAAGCCAGAGCCAGAAAAGAAACGCGGACGCGGCAGACCTTCCAAGGCTTCACTTTCAGCCTCTTTCACAGAAGATATCAAGGCCCAGGAGCCGGTCAGTACAGCCGCTCCGCCTAAGCGTGGGCGCGGCCGGCCACCCAAGCAGTCGAAAGAAGAGCCTCCTCTTTCCGAACCTGACGCCCAGTTGCTGGCAGAATCAGATGCGGCCGAGGCGAGAATACTGGCTGAAGCGGAGGCAGGCGCAGATGAATCGGTTGACTTGGTCGAGGGGCCTGAGTCTATTGTAGGAGACCCTTCCTCCTCCCCCTTCATGGAGCGACAAAAAGCACCAACGCCCAGGCGTTCGGAGCCTAATCACGTCGTTTTACAACCATCTACACCAGCTACAGGAGTCTCACCAGCGCCATCGGCTCGGCAAGCAGCTCTGTCACCATCCCAGTCTCCGCAGTCATCCGACGCGGAAAACCAACCGCCATCATCCAAGCCACCAGCAAGTGCTAGGACAAAGAGAGTGGTGTTGGCTCCTGTAGAGGCAACGCCTGTGCGTGGCTCGCCGTCAAGGCGCAATATGGTCGCTGGTCTTCAAAGCAAGACACCATGGAAGGCCGTAGACATTGACACCGTCATGGGTAGTCCTCAGAGAGCTGGTGATAAGGAGAATGGCGTGGCGCGACTTTTGAGGAAAGGCAAAGAGCTTACAAGCCCTGAGAAGAAGATGACCGTGGAAGACTGGATCTACTTCAATGCGGGCGAGGCTGAGAAACTGTTGAAGCAAGAATGTGAGGCGATGGTTAGTTCTTTTGAAAGCGAGGGATCGAAAGCCATGAATGTGCTCGAGGACCTTGTTGTTGAATGATTGAAATGAGTAACATGGTAGGGCAATCTTGTTAGATCAAATGGATGTCTGTCTACATCAGGGATGGCGTTTTTTATTAGTTCAGGGGAGTCTTTCGTTGTTTTGGCGTTTGTCAATAGGGTACATGCCGTTGGGAAATGAGGCACTTGTCGACAATGTTGTTGGAATAGAATATGAATGACAGCATGTGTTCACGTCTTTCTCTATAATCACACATCTACCTCACCGGCTGTCTGCTTTGATTGCTCTTCTGCTGATTGAAGTTGTGATTTGGAATACACGGAATTGAGTCTGATCCAAAGTACGATGAACTGAGATGAAATCACTCTAAGGTCACATCACATTGTAATTGAAAATCGATTGAATGGTAAAATAGTTTCATTTTTTATCCATTTCTTCTGAGGCCAATCGGCGCCAGTTCCAAGCTGTGAACAAAATTTCCAAGTTCTCCCTCTCGCAGTAGCATACTTTTCAAGCCGATCGATGATGGCTCGAGCCCAATTACCGTCCTCCCATGCCGACCCGATTTCCCCAGCATATCTGTTTGTAATACAAGAGAGTGTCTTGGTATCATCAGTGTGATCCATTGTCTAAATGAGTGTGGTGGGGTATTATCCATCATATATATCCCGTGTCTATAATGAGTGTCGTGGGGAATCATCCGTCATGTCTCCCGTCGTCTATAATGAGTGTCGTGGGGTATCATCCATTAATTAAAACCATTCCGTGCAAATTTCGCAATCAAATCAGAGAAAAACAACACCAAACTAGAAGCCCGGCCATGCCTTGGCAGGCTCGGCTCACAAAAACACCGTTCTTTCCCGAGAAATCCCAGAAATCGTCAAAAATAGCGTGAATATTCATTCATCGTTTGTTAATGAGAGTCGTGAATGTGCGTTGAGGCGCACATAAAAAAAACATTACAGAAACTCTTCACCGGAAGGGTATTACGCGAAGAGGGTAGCAACCATGCAAAGGACGGTCACCAGGAGGGTGTAGCCCGCAGTTGAGCGAGTACCCGCCGAGGGAGGCAGTGTACTAACTGAGGGGCTGGGGACAGTTGGGAGTGTTCCAGTACCTCCACTGGTCCGGGCAGAGGACGACGGAGCACTGCTACTGCTGGCAACGGTTGGGTCGACTCTGCCTGTAGTTGAAATGCCTGATGAGCTGGCGCTGCTGGAACTGCTTGGCGTAGCAATAGCAGAGCTGAAGCCACTTGAACTGCTGGATACAATCACAGAGGAGCTGGAGCTTGATGAAGAGACAATGGAACTGAAGCTGCTCGAGATGCTGGAACTGCTGGAGCTTGATGCTGATGAAGCAGCGGAGCTCGAGCTGCTGACATCACTAGTGGTAGCACTGCTCGTTGTAGATGCGCTTGAAGACTCGGAGCTAGACACGGTGGACAAAGTCTCACTTGTCTGACTTGCTGAGGAAGTGGATGTAGCAATTGTCGAGGTTGGCTCTGAAGTGGACGCTGTTGAAGAAGCGCTGCTTGCTGATGACGAAGCCGAGCTTGAAGAAGTTGTTTCGGTGCTGGTGATGGCAGAAAAGCCTCCGCTGCTTGTTGGGATCTGTGAGCCTGTGGTGATTGAGGGTTCAGAGGTCACGGCGGAATCCGGTCCGCTAGCAGTAGCGGATGTCGATGTAACTGGGTTGGTTCCCGAACAGAAGGTCAGGAATTGACTAAATTCAGGGTCCACGATTTCTCTGGGGGTAGTCTGGGATTCTCCGATGTTATCCTCGATACACTTGATACAGGCATTGTAGCCAGCCGTGAAGTCGCCATTTGGATCGCACAGTTCATCATTCTTGCCAAGAGACGACGCCAGGATGTATGCGTTGTTGCAAGTGCTGTAGCAAACTGCAGGAGCAGTGCTGAATGCACGCTTGTCCAGTCTCCTGCGGACGACAGGGACGGCTGTCGAGGTTGACCGTTCAAAGGTGGAGATGGATGTTTGAGATTCCCAGTTACCAGTGGTTATGGTCACGAGCTTGCCATGCTTCTCCTTTACAATAACCTCGGCCTCGAAAATATCATAAGAGAGTCCGAAGGCGTTGGGGTTCAAGTTGAAGTAGCCAAATTGCGGGGGATAGTAGCCAGTCTGGTTACCCTCCCAGGTCACATTCTTGATAGGAGGGGACGGAATGCAGTCCTCGTAGGCGCACGTGTAATCGTTTTGCGGAGGTGCGGGCCAGAAATTACAGGTATCCGGCTTCTTGGGGTTGCAGACATATCCTGGCTTGCACCCAAATGTCAATTTGGACTTGGCCTGGAATGTTGATGCGAGAGTGGCAGTCGGGGCTGGGCAGAGGGTGACAGAAGTGATGGTTGTAACGGTCAATGTGCTCGGTGGAACGGTTACTGTAACAGGGGGGATCGTGATGGTTGTCGGCACATAGGAGGTTGGGCCAGGCACAGTGCTAATAATTGTCGAGCCATCTCTTGTCACGGTGATCGTCCTCTCAGGTCCCAAAACCGTGGCTGTGGTTACCACCGTGGAACCGGGCAGTGTTGTCACCTCACCCGGAAGAGTGATTGTCTGTGCGGGAGCAGTGATGGTGGCACCGGGCGCAGTGACAGTCTGGCCTGGAAGCGTTGTTACCTGGCCAGGAAGAGTGACTGTCGAAGCAGGAAGCGTGAATGTGGAGGCAGGAAGAGTAATCGTGGATGTAATGACGCTCGTCGTCCCATCGGCCGTCACTGTAAGCGTTGTGACACTTGTCGTTCCAGGAAGCGTTGTAACCTGGCCTGGAAGTGTTGTGACTGACCCTGGAAGAGTGACGGTAGACGCTGGAAGAGTAACCGTCGATGTGACAACGCTCGTTGTGCCATCCGCCGTCACTGTATATGTAGTGATGCTCGTCGTTCCAGGGAGCGTGGTGACCTGACCAGGAAGGGTTGTCCTGAACGTCTCTGTGATGTACGATGTCGCCCATGAGACGACTGGATAACTACTCGTGACAGTTCTGTATTCAGTGGTGAATATGGTGGTTCCACTAGTGACCGTTGCTGTGCGCTCGACCGTCTCCGTGAAAGTGGTCGTTTGCCAGACCGTGGTTGGAGTGGCGGTTGTCTTCGTAATATACGAAGTTCTGTCAATTGTGGTCGGGATAGTGATGGTGTTGTCGATCGTAGTTGGAACCTGGACGGTGTTGTCGATCGTAGTTGGAACTTGGACGGTATTGTCGACCGTCGTTGGAACTTGGACGGTGTTGTCAATAGTGGTTGGAACCACGATTGTGGTGGGTACGGTGGTGTAAAGCAGCTCCGTGGTTGTCGTTGTCGTCCACACTGTCGTGGTGATGGTATCACAGATCGGCTGCGGTGGTGTCCTGCCATAGACATTCGTTGGGTAGGATGGAGAAGACGAGGTCGAACCAGGGCGACAGCTAGAGTAGTGTTAGCAGGATTCACTCCGCGCGAGCGAGCACCCGAATACTTACTTGACAGTTTTGGTTGTTGTGACAGGATAGGACTGTGAAGAGAACGGTCAGCGTGGATTCAGAATTGGAATGACAGTTTCGAAAGCATACCGTTGTGTACGTTGTGGTATAAGTGGTAGTGGCCTTGATTGTCGTAGGCTTGTTGACAGTCGTTGGCACACCCACAGTAACACCGACAGTAGTTGGGACCTTGACTATAACTGTCGTTGGGACCTTGACTGTGACCGTCGTGGGCACCTTGATCGTCGTTGTACACGTTTCTGTGATAGTGGTTGGAACTGTCTTTGTCTCATAGATAATCGTCTGGCAAGTGGCATTAGCGTCACCGTCCTCATCCCCGTGTCACTGGGGCGTACGTACTGTCTCTCTGAAGGTCGAATTGACATAGACTGTGCAACATCCTCCACACCTCGCCGCGTCCGGGTTGACAGCGTTGCTAATAACATTGACATGGGCGGTCCAGTTGCTCGAAGGCACTGGGGCCTGTGTAATAGCAGGATCGGGAGTCTGGGGCAGGTCCGTAGCTCCAACGGATGAGAGCAGGGCGCTTAGAGCGCCAACGGCGAGTCCCCAGGAGAAGCGCATGTCTGCAAAGCACGGTGAGCGAGAGGGTGGAAGGCAGGACAAGCGTGAGGCGTTAGAGAGAGGTAGCCGCCGGAATCAGCCCTATATATTACTCGTGAGGAGTTAGAGGGAGTGTCCATTCATAACAGGCATCATAAGTGGGCGAGGGGAGAGGGAACACTTGACTGGGGTTGTACCTTGACACCAATATTACACACAACAGCTAGGACCATGTAATTGCAGCTTCCAAATGAGCCAAGGCAAGGCTTAGGCACGAAACCTTGCTCTGCCAGATTACCCAGGCTACCGGTTCTATGAATAACCAGCGGTCCTAAACAAGGCAAACGAATGGACAGGCGGGCAGAGGCAGCTGGTGCGGCGCCAATGCCTTTGCGCGTGTTGTTTTATTGCACCGTCACTGATCAGGCCAAGAGGAGACAGCAGGAGGAATCCCCAGTGAATTGGCCGTCACAGAGTTCAGTAGAGCGAGCGTACGGAGAGGGGAGGTGAGAAGCAAGGCGGGTGGCGACGCAGCTTACACGGAGAGACGGGGAGCTCCTGGACTAATATCGGCACATCATGACAAGAGACAGGGCCCGGCACTCTCATGCGAGGGACACGCCTCTCCGCGGGCAAGGCTAACCATCACGGGCGTGCAGAATCAAGGCTAAGAAGATGCGCGAGAATACTCGGAGGTATCCTTGTCAAAGTAGCTATCCACTTTGGGTAGGTTGCTGAGCCGCGTTGTGGGACAGCGAGCATGGGGCATGGGTCACCGCACATTCACGAGAACAAGAGATGCAGCTTGGCTTGGCCTGGGGGAGAATAAGATATCTCCACTCGCACCTACCCAAGCAAGGTTCAAAGAATATCGCCTCAACCCTCGAGGGGGTCGGGTTACAATTCTCGTTCTAGACCGTACTGAGAAAAAGGCCGCGTTGGGGCATGGAGAAGGATGACTGGCGGCGGAGAAGTCGACATCTCAGTGCCTAACCTCCGCACACATCAATCGAGCGGTGGCATAGCTCGACGATGGGTGGAACAGGCACCCGGCGTTGGGGGCCAGAGGGTGCCATCGCCAAGGATGCAGAGAGAATTAGGTGTGATACTGCGCGGTGCGGTTCGGTCCCTTGATGCGTGTTAGTGCTCGGCCAGTGCAAAAGAACGTTAGCCGGCAGAGGGCACCTGCAAGCCACCATCTGGGAAGTGGGGTTCCAAGACAAGAGGGAGGACGACAATGAGCCTTTTACGAAGGGGCTGAAGGGTCGGAACCAGTACCATCTTGCGAAAACAGCCCGCGTGCTCAGCCCGAGAGAGTGGCGCGCGCGGGTCAATGACTATGTGGGCACACGTTAGTCGTGTAAGAGCGTGCCAGCCCAGCGAGGCAGAGAGAGACATAGATGCCGTGAGAAACACGCATCATCCGTAGAGCAGCTGCCACCTAGGGAAAGAAGCAGCGACAGATGCGAGGTTGGCCAAGAACCAGCCGAATCGAATGTTCCCTCCCAAGATAGGTGGGGTGAGTGAGAAAACCCCTGGCCCCCTGCCTAGTTCAGGCCGACCCAGTGGAAAATCTTCCCGATGGAGCCAGCCAGGTATTTCCATGGCAACCCAACAGTCGCATTGAGATGTCGATTGGGGGCGATGCTGACGTACACTCTGACAGGGGACGAGTTCTTTTGTTGGCAGTCAGACGAAGGAAAAATTCCAATTCATCATGTGGGGATGGAATGAAAGTCGAACGTTTGTCTTCTCCCGCCGGCCGTAGCTGCCTTCTAAGTTCTGCCGCCAGACCAGCGCCAGGCACGGCCAGCAGGCAGACCCGCTCGTGCTTTCCCTCGAAAGCTGTCACCTGGCCAAGCCTCTAGCAATGGTCGGATACTGAGGCCCTGATTGGACGCCTTGGAAATCCCCACCGCTCTTCCAACCCCCGCTCCATTTCCCCGCCCGGGAGCCTTTTTAGCAAGCATGGCGAAAGAGTTGGTACCTGCTACGCGTACCAACATCCAGCATCCGCCAGCACCACCACCGTTGGCCAGTGGAGAGTGTAGGCAGGTACCCTTGGGAATGACAACGAGCCAAACATCATTGGGTAATATGCTCCAGCTTACAGCAAATCATGGCCATTGTTGAGGCAGCGATGTGCTGACGGCGGTCAAAATTGCACAATCTGCTGCCAACGAGCTAACCAACCCATCGGCAGCCACAGTCACAGTGGTATGACTAAACCTCGACGATCCCTGAGCAAGCAAGCAAGCTCCAGCCTCAGCGGCCAGGCCGGTCGGGTATGGACGACCATTCTCCAAATCACCAACCAATATTTGGACTCTTTGAGCCTTGGATAGCCATCACCCGCATCACGTTACGTAGCATCAACCCGCGGCCGCCACCCACAAGGCCTGGCCCAATGCATGCGGGCTGGGGAGGATGCCGTCGCTATCACACATCAACCCCTCCAAGGTCCATTCCATCAGGCGAGACATTTGCCAAGTCAGCCCTGTAGCCTGTAGCCTGTAGCAGTGCGTAGTGCAAGGGAAGGCCGGTAGGTGGCTTAGGTCATGCTAAGCACTGGCAACCCCTGCCACTCGCTAAGTGCTAGCAGGCTTGGCGCCATTGTATGTCATCAATCTTCTCTTGGCCTAGCAACTAACAACCAACAACCTCCGGCTACGACCAATCCAGCACACGCTGCGTCTCTGCCATCCTCGACGGAGAATACTAGCTTTAGTACCTGGCATGGCGCTGAGGTTAGCTGGTCCATCATCGCTCCAGCTGTACTTAAAGTTGAGATGATGCCGTGGCACTCGTATTGCCCGTCATTCATCCCGTGCTTGCTTTTCTTATATGCACCCATGGAGTTCTGAGACGATGATCTACGGCTGCTCTGGCTGGCGAACCCTCGCTCCACATCCGATTCGGTTCCCACGTGTCTAGGCCAGGCCAGCACCAGGTTTCTCGCACCCTGCCCATCTCACCTCATCCTTGCTGTCCTCGAAGACCGAAAGGACCGACCGATCAATTGACTAAAAAAAATCAAATGCTACCAAACAAGGAAAGACATGCCAACCACTCTGGGGTGCAATCTCTTTTTTGCTTTTCCCATCTCGCAGTATCCGCCGCCACCGCTCGCTCGCAACTTGCCCACCACCGGGGCGCCATCCAACGCACGCACACCGGCCCAGCTCGCAGGCAAAGAATGGGGGACTGGCAGGGCAGCTGTGTGCTTCGGTCGCTCAGCCCATGATTGAGGTAGCCAACTCCCGCTACGATGTCTACGCGACCACTGATTAGGCAGGCAAGCGTTGGGCATGCCACCTCACCGTCAATGCTTCTCCAACCTTACTCTGGCCCTCCCTGCAACTGGTGGCCCATGACCGCCGATCCCTGCTTGGTAGCTTACCATCCACTGTTCAGGCCGCCCACTGTTCTGGCCTGCGCCCCGATCTGAATGGTGGCTTTTCGCTTGGTCGTCAAATAGACCCTGGATCATTGCAACCCTCCGTCGTTGTTCACGGTAAACACGAGCTGATGAATTGCCCTTACCCTCACCATCGGGCGAACCATAATGGCGGGTGGCCGCATAGGCGGCTGCTTTCGTCGCATATATTCGACGCCAATGGAAACTCAGACAACCATAACAACACCTGGGGATCTTCGCCTTGTCGGCCCTGCGCGCCATATTGCTCTTCTCAACTCAGCTCCCTGCTAATACGATATACGCATGAGGACTTGCTCTGGGGTGAGACACACCTCGCTCGCACAGCAGCCACTCACTGGAAGGAACATCCGTAGTACACACAGCCTTCGAAGCCCGCAAGACTAATCCTCCTCAATGCGTTCGCTGACCACTTCTTCCCCTCCCCTTGCATAATACGTAGCCAAAGCTCGGATCATCAATCGGCCCTGCCGCTCTGATTGCGATGCCAATGTGGGACGGCCATGATCACACTACCTCATCTGTGATCTTTCTTGGGGTTGACCTTGCAATTCGCTCGAACAAGGCTATCGGGCTTGTTTCCCTCGGTTCAGAGGTCTTCTTTCCTTTTTCCTTGATCCTCCGTGGTTGCTGCACCCCCCCTGTCTCTGCATGCGTAGCCACCCACTTCCCTGCGCGCCAAGGTCAGCAACTATGGGTAGGGCTTATCCGAAAGACCTTCGGTCCCAGGGTGTACCTCTGTACTCCGGACACACATGTGAAATGTGATGGAGTGGTTGAGTGGCTCATGGACATACAATGTACCAATGAGGGGATCTCGCCCACGCTGCTCCGCCAGACTCGGTGCCATTTCCTGTAATGGGGCCGTAATATGAACTTCTGTCCAACGCGGTCTCGACTCAACCGGGCAGCCCGCGGACCTGTTGCCATTAGGGCATCTTTGCTAGGCCCTCTGTGGCAAAAGATAATCTCGTCGTAGGCTATCCATCTATCCGTGTTGTCGCTGCGTGGTTTGCCGTCTGTATCTCAGCCCTCCTCACCTCATGCAGGTGATTGTGATTTTGCCCCAGCAGGGTTAGCCCAATCGCTGGATTCTTGCAGCTGAATCGACCTTTTTGCATTAACTCACATACTACATACTTGTACCCATAGACGTGCTGGCTGGACACTCCTCGCTGGCGCTCTTGATTCCCAAAGCGGGCCCGGCCATCCATCCCCCCAGCCTCTCCTTCAGCTCATCACCACTGCTGGCCGAGACGAAAGACTGCCTGCTCACTCACACCTCTCGTTCTGATACACGGGAAATTGCATGTATCCAGCCGGATCGAAATCCGTGGCGTTTGCGGCTGATCTCCCTCGGATCGAATCTGGCGGTTTAGACCCAGACACACAGTATCACCCTGCTGGCGACCAAGACAGGAGAGGGGAAACGAGCCTGTGAGGCGGCGAGACACGGCTCCCAGTGTGCAGATCCACGGTGAAGATTGGGACAGACAGGAATTGTTCACGACCCATTCCCCACCGCCAATCTGCCGGGTGATGTGCTTCTAAGTCGGTGTTGAGTTGATCCATCAATTATTCGGCT